GATGTGATTCATCTGTTCACTTGGCCAGCAGTCACTGAGGCCCTTCTGTGCGCTGCCCAGGACCTGCCCACAGGAGTTTCCAGAATGTACAGGGACTAAGAAAGAGCTACTGGTATTTGAGTGGGTCCCCAGCCAGTGCCAGGGACCTGAGCGGCCAGGCCAGGTCCTCTGGTGCCATCGTGTGGCGCTGTGTGTTAACTGCAGCTCCCAAACAGCCTGTTCTCTCACAGAGGTCCTTGGCCCAGAGATAGGGAGCTGCAGAGTTGGGGAGAGAACATGGTTTTCTGCCCACAGCCTGTTTGCCTCACAGGCTGTGTTTCCTCAGCCCCATTTCTCTGCCAGCTACTAAAATTTATGTGTCCTGATTATTTCTGGTTCCATCTAGGCCATGGCCTTTGGGTCTAAGCCAGCTTCACCCTAGCTAAGCAGGGATTCTTTTTAAATTTTACCCAGTTTGCCAACAGGGCAGAGATATTTACTGGGGAGGTGATTTATTTCTCTGTTGTTTCTACACATTTCTACCATAAGAGTAGACACAAACAGGCAGTTTTTTTCAGTGCCAGTATGTGCTGGCTTAGGGGCCTCCTAAAGCCCAGTCGAATCTTTGAGGATTCCAACTGGTGGCCGGCCTCTCCCTTTCCAAAGCCCAGGCCCAGGGAGCTGGATAAAAACCTGCAAATGCAGCTGCTGGAAGCCACCAGCCCTTCATTCCTATGATGGGACACAGCAGCCTGACTCCGTGCAACTCCAGAAAGTAGAAGAGACAAATGTGCAGACACAGGGAAGTGGCAGTTGGGGAGTAGGGGGGTGGGCACCTGAGCAACAGAGGGCAGGGCTGGGTCATGGAGGGTCCTTGAGTGCTAAGGAGTATCCACTTTATCCTCAGTGCCAGGGTAAATGCAGGCTAAGACAGGGCTGGAATCTGCACAAACTCCTGACTAGAAGCAGAATGACTTTTCTCCTCTGGCTGATGGAGGACAAGAATAGAAAAACTGAAAAGGAGGTGCCACGAGACCAGGTGCCACGAGACCAGAAACCTGGCTCACATAAGGAGGTGGGGGTAGAATGGATTAGCATAGCCATTGACACAGCTATGGAAACCAAGATCCTTAGGCACCAACACCTAGATTACAAAGCATAAAACCCAAGCAGGTATCAGACTGCTGTAGGGAATATGCAGAGCATGGGCCCAAGGGTAAAAATATGGAGATTTAGTCCAACAGATCCCAAAGGTAAAGATATGGAGATTGAGCCCATCTGGAATCTCCAGTCCCTTTCAGATTCTGCATAGCTGTCCAAAATCAGCAACTAACCAAGCCCCTCCCAAACAAGAAGACTGTATCAGTGCAGCAGTCTCTGCACTGGCTCAGGGCAGCAATCCATCTGCCCACTGTGCCTGTGTAGGTGCTTCTTTTCACCAACTCTCTCCCTCAGCTAGGCAGCAGCTTCCTGCCTGCCCATGACCTGTCCCATGTCGGGGCTTCCTTCACTGACCCTCAGCAGAGGCAGCTCTCCTCAAGGCCGCCTGCCTGCAACTATGCAGGCCTCTCTTAGCAAACCTGTCCCTTTCAGGACAGCTCTTCCTGCCTGTTTGTGTCTATGAAGTGTCCTTTATTCCTCTGTCCCTTTTATAATAAACCTGTTCTTTAAATATAACTACCGTCTCTGTCTCGCAGAGAAACTCGTTTGGGAAACTCGCCACATGCCACTGAAAGTGGAGCTCTGGTGCATTCTTTCCCAGAGTGAACCCAAGGACCCTGCTCTCCAAACCCAGTGACTCCAAAAACAACAACATGGCCACTGTGAGGGCCTCCGGGTGGATGGAGACAAGGCTCCTAGAGAGTGCAGGAATAGCTGGTCCAGGAGTGAGATAGGAACTTAGGAAATCTGACCCTCCCCTTATTTCCCTGCAGACGCCTTTGTAAACACCAGCATCTTGCCCCCTGCGCGCTTGCGCAAAGGGACACACACACACACACACACACACACACACACACACACACACACACACACACACACACACACACACACACCCGACGGTTTCAAAAGGGCCATGCTGCCACCTGGTGGCCACATCAGGACAAGTGCTCTTGTACTTCTCTGAGAGGCTCCAGAGAAGAACCTCTCTCCCTGGTTGCCTTGTTCACAGTGCAAAGTGTTTCCTCCACTGAGCAGTAACTTCTAGAGTAAATGTTGCTACTTCTCCAACCCTTTCTCATGGAGTCTGAGCAGTTCTGGAAGCGGGTTCAGGGAGAAATAACTGCAGAGGCCACAAAAGCAGGCTCCAACTCCCCCCAGTCCAGAGCTCCTCCCACTGCCTGTGCCTTCCTTCCTTCCTGCAGGGCTGCTGGCTGGGGGGGCCCTCGGACTGTTCACAGCCCTGGTGCCTGTGGAAAGACCACACAGACATGCTAAAGCTCAGGTGTGCAGATATGTGTTCATTATCAACTATAACCAGTCACTGATTTTTATGAAAATTTGCCAATGAAAATAAACTCAGTCTCTTTCCAACCTAAAATGATCTTCTTTGGTCTAACTCAGGCTCTTTCCAGAAGTACTTCAAAGTCCTCACTCCCTGGAGCAGCTGATATTCCCTCTCCCCCTTTCATCAGAGGGGTTCTCCCTCCCTTTATCTCTGACAAGAGGACCTCCGGAGCTGGCCTCTTCTGGGGCAGGGGCCCTGCTGCTCACCCTGACATGGGCCTCAGCCTTGCTGCCCCCACAGCTGAGCCCTGCATGGGGGCGAGGCCTGCTCTCAGCCCAGCCAGATAGGAGGCCTGCTGTCTGCCACTCTCAGCCCCAGGGTCCCTTACCACGCCCTGGTGAACACCTGCTGACCAGCCAGCATCCTCATCCACATTCTTCTCCATTCTCTACTTTCCCAGCCAGTGGCAGAGAAGGAGGTAGTGGGCTCTTCTGCTCAAGGGCCCCTGCTGTGTGGAAGCCACCTCCTCAGCCATCAGGGGTTTGGGCTGGAATCCCTATCTTCCTCACACTCCTTCCAACATACATAATTTGGAACCAACACACCGGCACGGGGCACCACCCGGGGACTTAGCTCCTCCACACTTTGGCCAAGGCCCCATCCCACAAGGCTAATTTTTCTCTAGTAGAGATACCCCGACCTTCTCCTTCTTCACCCACACACATCTTGTTCTAGATGACACCTGTCCTGCCTTTCCTTGGGCCGGAGGCTCAGAACTGCTGGGGGAGGGAGAGACTAGCAGTGGGGGTATTTACAAAGCATGCATCACATATGTCAAGCTGGCCTCCCACCTCAACAGCCCCCTCTTCAGGCTTGTCCTGAGACATGCACCCAGCTCTGGCCTGGCCCTTCCCATCAGTCTTGCCTCACTCCCCAACCCCTGCCTGAATATCCACCTTCTAGGGAGGCGTGGGCCAGACTCTGCTCTATTCGGACCTGGAGCCCTCAGGGAATTGTGGATCGAAGGAAAATGTTGTGCAGAGGCCACAGCATGCGTCCCAGAGCGAGGCTGCCTGGGCTAATCCCACACTGCTGACCAGCACAGCAGTGCTGTCCCGCTCAGGACACCACAGCCCGCAATTAAAGTGAGGGGGTTCTGAGGCCACATAAAGTGCTCGCCAGGCCCAGAACACAGTAAGTGCTAAGTAACTGTTGTCATTTTGCTGTGATAATGGAGTGGGTCCCAACTGGGGAAATCGCGACCCAGAAGAGCAAAAAACCCCACTAAGCCCAGGCTAGCCTGAAGGCCATCACTCCTTCCAAAGTGCTAGAGCCCTGGATAGTTCTACTTCTGAGGAGAGCTGAGGTATTTCCTGACCAGCCACTGAAGGTGAGGGTCAGCACTGATCCAAGCCCGTCACCAGGCAGAGCCACGCCTCTCCTGTCAGGGGGTGAAGGGTCTTGGTGGTGGTTCGTTACATGATTCTGAAGCAAGATGTACTTAGTCTCAATTGGCTGTATCCCGTTTGACAAGAAAATTATAAAGCTTTTCGGTCCAGGCCAAGGTCAGGTGCTTCTTCCCCTTGCCAAGGGCAGGCAGCTCCCCCTCTGACTGCCTCCCTCTTTTCCAGGCTCAGCCTCAGTCATGGCAACCTCTGCGGGGGGCATCCTAGTCCCACTCCCCACACCCCAGCGTTCCTCGCCATGATGGGAGAGCTGGTTCTAACTGCCTTTTCTGCCGGGGCCATGTTTAGAAGCATCGACCAAAGCATCTTTACTCCTGCATTTTTTTTCTTTCTCTCCTTAAACTAATCAAATAGCTGAAGTGGTGACCACCTCAGGGCAAGTGATTCTAGCTGAGCATAGAACAACATGGCGATTTATGGCTTTGGAGTTGCTGTGATGCAACCCAAAATCCTAGTCAGGATGGACCCCCATGGTGTAGAGCCAGCCATAGAGAGAGGAGCCCTTCCTTTCTAATGGGGGTGGCCAAGTCCAGGCTTCTGAGGTCCTGTCCTCAGCCAGCTTGGCCAGGCCTGAGCCCAGGGCCCCTTGCCGCACCTCTGTCCTATCTGACCCTCCACCCTAGGGGGCCTCACAGAAAGCATAAAGTCTGACAGGAGGACTCCAGAGATGGGGTAAATTAGGGTTTCCCTGCCAGGGCAATGATGGGGAGAGCAGGGAGGTAGAGGGAGCTCAGGAGTTTCCTTCAATCAGGAAGGTTGGGCCTCCCTGGTAGCACAAGGGCTTGAGTCTCAGTACTATGATGCTATCGCCAGCCACTGCCGGCCAGGGAGCTAATCCACATGGCATGGCAGACCTCTCCTGTCTCGCCTGCTGCTCCCCTCAGCAGTGTATTTCAGTCAATCTGCCTGTTCTGTTCCCCACGCTGTCTCTGGGGAATCCTCCCCACCCCAGCTCCTGTATGCATAAATAAAAATGAATCTTTTTTTAAAAAATAAGGAAGATTGAAAACCATCGGGAGAAAGTGTGTGTGTGGGATAGGGAGGGGGTGGCGGGATGGGGGGGAGGGGATTGGAGAGAAGAGTTCAAGCTGCTGCTCCCAGTGGTCCCAAGAAACAAAAGCCAAGACCCTAACATCAGCTGCTGCCTCCGCACTCAGCTCAAGGGATCTCGTAGGAGCCTGGGAAGGGAGCAGAGGTGGGCATCTTGCTGCGAAGTGCATAGGCCAGGAGGGCAGGAGAACTGGGGGGCAGGAGAGGAAGGAGGCACTTGAGAGGAAGGGCAAGGGTGCCAATCAGCACAGGTTGGGGAGGACGGAGGGGCCACCATGGCTGCTGGCTCTGCCGCTATTGGGCCGCTCTCCCTGGCCCCGTGAGCGTCCATCTCCAGGTGGGTGATTTCGTGCGCATCCGTGCAGGGTGATGACTCAGGACCATATGCTAGGGGATCCTGGGGTGAGGGGGCTAGAGGAGGCCACAGTCTCAAGCCACATGTGGACAGCATTTATTTTTCATGCCTTCAACAAATGCTTGAGTCTGCTGAGGTCACTGAGCCCTAAGCAGGGCCTCTGAGCTGACAGCCAGGGCAGCTTGGTGCCCACCACAGAGCCTGGCCACCCCAGAACTCAGCGACAGGCTGCTGAACACACGGTGGGTCATGTGGCAATCAGAGGAACAGTCAGTAGTTAGGGGGCTGTGTTGAGAATGTGAGGGGCTCACCCCCACCTGCTTCTTCGTATCTCGCCTGTTAACCATCCTGCGGCTAGCACTCCACACTGACGGGCCGCAGACCTGAGGGGCTTCCCTGAGGTGGTGAGGACAGCCAGACCCTGCCAAGGACCTTGGCTCCTCCATATCTGGGGTGCCTGGCCAAGCCTGAGGTCAACCTGGGCAGCCTGGCTTCACGTGAACTGTCCAAGGTCCTGAGGCCAGCTCTGCTCCAAGATCAGTTAAGACCAGACAGGGGCCTGGAGGTCTGAGGAGGAGCCTCCAGGCCAAATCACTAGCTCCCCAGGCCAGCACTGGGAGCCCTGAGGTCACAGGCTCCGAGGGGGAGCCCAGAACACAGTACAGTTCAGCGGAGCCGCTTGCTGTCCAGAATAGCCTTCCAGTCATCCGTCCAGGATTGCAGTCTGCGGCTGGGGGGCTGCAGCTGCACGTGCCGGTTGTGGCATGATGTGAAGAGGATGTGCTCCCAGTTGGGGTTGGGCTCGGCCCCTGTGGGTAGGAAAGCAGCACTTCAGTTCAGAGTTAGGAGTGTGGCTGCCCTGCCCATTCCTAACTGTCCTGAGAGAAGCAGCTGGCCTCTGAGAATTGGCTTCCCCATTGGAAAGGAGTGCACCAGCACCCATCTCATGAGGGACTGCCAGGATTAAATGGGATGACCCCACAAAGCACTGGGCACAGTGCACAGCGGGTTCCCAGCAGTGACTACAGTGGTCACCACCACCACAGTCACAACTGAAAGACCCTGGATAATGCTGTATGCTCAGCCCCGACACCTTGCCCCTCCCCTGGCCTGTGTCTCAATCCTCCTGCACTGGGGCAGCTTACCAGCTATGGACCATGGCCCCACAACCTCCCTGTCCCAATCCCTCAAGTCCACATGTCCACGCTGGCAATGCTGGTAGTGATCCCAACCACAGGGATATGGCTACACCCCCAGCTCCTGAATGGGCCTCTCCCCTGCTATCTGTGGTTAGAAATGGGGCTGAGAGGGTCTCTGAGTCCATTGGGTCCCAGCTCCTGTGTGCCCTATGCCCTGTGGTTGCCCTTGGGAAGCTATACAACATGGTTCATCACCTGTGCCTTCTGCCTTCTAGACAGTGATGCGTGGAGAAATGAGCATGTTTCCTAAGCTAGCTCAAAACCCATCAGGAAAGAAACAGTCTGTTTTTGCCACTGATGCATCCAAGAGAATAGGATTTAACTCTCAAACTACTGATGGTTTCCAGGAGGAGAGAGCCTGTTAGAATACAAAGGCAAAGCAGAGCTGAGCAGAGCCGGGAGGCTGTTTCACTCCTAGATCCAGCCATGCCTGAATCCTTCCTACCCCACTTTTTCCCCCTTTCCTTTTAAGTCAGTTTGTGTTTGTTTGTTTGCTTTTTTGAGAGGTGGGAATTCATAAGCAAAAGCAACAAATACAACTCCTGAACCACCTTAAATTAGAGAAATTATGCTTACATGTTAGGCTTAGTCCAAATTGCTTTTGGAAGTAAAAAGGGTTCTGCGCGAAAAACAAATATTTGGGAGCCAGAGACCAACCCTCATTTTACATGAAGGAGGCAAGGCTTCAAGGAATAAAAGGACTCACCCAAGGTCACCCAGCAAGTTACCCCAGGAGCTGGGACCCACTTCTCCCGGCTCCCAGTGGTGCCCCTTCCAAGGCCGGATACTGGAAAGAAACATGTCTTCCCAAAAGGGAAGAGACTCAGCACCGAGCTCAGGCTGGACACCTAATACATTTCTGGCAACTAAGTGGGGTTTCTTACACATGGGGAAGAAGGGGTTGAGGCCCAGCCCTACTTGCCGCAGGGCACTTGCCTGTGATGTCCAGCCGGTCGTCTATGAGAAGGTCAGCAGAGACCACAGTCTTGTCTCTGGTCAGCACGATGTGCTCCAGAAAGTCAGAACCAAAGTGCTTCTCCACCCAGGCATACTGAAACGAGCAGCAGAAGAGGGAAGAAAGCATCACCAGACCTGAGTGCAGCCGCACTGCCCGTGGGTAGAAAGGTTGCTGACAGGAGACAGCATCATCCCCCTGGCAGAAAACTATGCCCAAGGAGAGGGCCACCTGACACACGCACCACAGCCAAAAGCAGCACAACCAGGCCTCAAACCCAAACACCCCCACTCAGCCCCACCCTTGCACAGGCCACCTGGACACAATAAGGGGCCTCCTCCCACTGCCCCGCAGCTGGAAGGCCTTGAAGGTTCCCACAGGCACTGTGTTCTTTGTGTCTGGGGCAAGAGGAAAGGGGACAGGGCCCAAAGGTCTACTGAAACCATTTGCTACATGACACCTGGCAAGGTGCCACTGAGGAGCAGTCTATAGTGCCCCTGACCCGCAGGTACGTCCTATCCTGGGTGAGCCAAGAGGGCTTGATTCAGGAAGCCACTTACAAACTGGAGCTACAGGGAGAGCCTTTCAGGTGGCGAGCATGAGGTGCTGATAGGTAGAGGCGTGCCTGGGAGCTGAGGGAAAGTGGGGTACTGGCGCCATGAGTGGTGGCCTACGAAGGAATGGGGCTGTGGGGAGCAGGCTAGGAAGAGCCCAGCACAAGGTCTTGCCCTGCTGTCACTGGCCTGAATCTCCCCCTTGCCTCCTGGTGTGGTCTGCAGGGTGCCCTCCCACAACAGAAGCACTTTGAGATGGGTCCCAGCCACTCCCTCCAGGTCCTCCTATACTCTCCAGCCAGCGGGGGCAGCAGGTAGTAGGCACACTGGCTAAGCTCCCCGGGCTCTGGGGCACAGCAGACATTGAAAGCGAAGCCAACCCCTGTCAGGCTGGCAGCAGGGAGCTCCACAGCCACAGACTCAATCCCAATGTCTTTCTGGTTTCTTAATTGCTGCAAACCAACACATTAATGGACAGATCTGGTTGGGTCGCTGCATTTTAACCAAGGAGAGGTTTTATTTAGGCAGGATCAGACAGCCTCCCTTTGGCTCTGGAATGGAGAACAAGCAGGGGTGGGCCACGGCCTGCAAGGTAGTTCTGCCCAGCCTCCAGCCACCCAGCTGCCTGGCCCTGGCCATCCCTGTGTGAAATGAGGGGAGTAGAGCATGCACCATGGACTGCTCCTTTCTGGTTGAAGGGTCACTGTGCTGAGTCACACACCAAATCCAGGAAGTCCCGTTGAAAGAGGCAACTAGTGAGGCAAAGCAGAGAGACAGCCTGGAGTCACAGTGCTGCCGGGGAGAGAGCACAAGGTGGCCCTGGTTGGGCCCAGCACCACTTCCAGTGCCAGCCCCTCACTTTCTGTGTCCCTTCAAGGATTTTCTTGATTTTTCAACTATGTTGTGCTTTTTCCTGCCTCAGTTGCTTCATAAGAAATTTCCCCAGACTGGAACACCCCTGTCACTCTCCTTTACTCACACACACACACACACACACACACACACACACACACACACACCCCAAGCTCTAACTGCCCTTCCTAGCAGTGGTCACAGTGGTAGCCACACATGTGCATAATCACTCGTGTCGCATCTGTCTGCTCCACTTAACTGTAAATTCCTTGAGCTCAGGGGCCATGTATCATGAATACTTACTGAGAGAAAGTACACACCAAGATCAAGCATGGGAAGAAGGAATGGTCCCTTTTGGCCAGACTTGTCCAAGGGAGGGGACGCTGATTTTGTAGACCCATGACATGCTGGCCATCAGCTGTCCCCTTTGCCTCCCGCTGGCCCGGTTTTGGGCTCCCCAAACATCCTTCTCCAGAGTCATGTTACTCAGTGGACAGAGGGCCAAGCTGCCACCTGTCTCAGCAAGAGCCCCCGTTATACAACAGGCTGCCTCAGGCTCACCTAAAAGCTCAAGAGCCTCATCGCCGCGCTGCAGCTGGGTTGGGTCGAATGAGCTGATCACCCACACTGCCCATCTGGCAAAGTGAGTACCCCCCGTACCATGCCAAGAAAAGGGGCCCTGGATGCCTGGGGCAAGCAGAGCAGTGCGGAGGCAGGAGAGGCCCAGGCCATTTTTGTTGCAAAAGTAATAGCTTAACAAAGAAATGTTGGGAAATAAAGGGAACTCAGAGAAAGAAACATCTACACTCAGCTGTATCCCTCCTTTTAAAAGAAATTTGTGGATTTAAAAAAAAAAAACATAATTAAACAGTGTAGGCAACTGGGCACATAATTGATTTTTCCTAGATTCAAGAATGCGGGAAAAACTAATAGACTACAGAACTGTCTAGACTTCTGGCTAGAAAAAGGTGTGCTGATGTTTGTTCTTTCTTTACCCTGGACTGGGGAAATTTGGGACAGATAGCTGACAAGGGGGTGATATTTACAGCTTTTTTAACACATTAGATGGTTTATATAAACTACTGCAATTTTCTTAAATGATGTCTGTGAGAGGTTTTATTATGTTTGCAAGAAACCAAAATTCTGAGAGGTTAAGAAAAGGAGCTTACAGGTGGCTCACAGATCTGAGGCTCTAAGTGTAAGTCCCAGGCTCAGCCAGGGCCTCGGCAGGGCCGGGCGTCTGAGGGAAACCTCTGAGGAAAGGGCAAGACTTGGATAAGCATCTTTTATTAGCTTCATTAGCTGCTGTTTTGGAAGAGAAGTGCTGTTCACTATTCAACTGGCTATCAGTTTGGTTCTGGGAAAAACACTTGGGGATAAAATAGTTCAGCCCAAATGAATGCAATTAGTCAACTGTACAACAATGCCTTTATTTCTAAACCAGAATCTGTCAAAATGACTGAATCTGAACTACACATAGCAAAAGGATTTCTAGGGCTTTTAAGGGAGGTGCTCTCATAAGACCTAGGGGGACGAGTGTCAAGTCCAAGAAACCAATCCCTGTGCGGTGAAGAACTCCATGTGTGTGAAGACACCGGGGAGAGCACAGGGCTGGGAAGGCACAGCAGGGACAGGACATCAGGCACAGCACCGTGGGACCAGCCCCGACACACCCTCTAAGGGCCACATGGCCCCAGGTCCACGAGCAAAGTGCAACTCAGAAATGGAGATGGCACTAGAGGCGCTCCTGGGAGGAGATCCTGACACAGAGACAGGAAGTATGGATGGGGGAAGAGGCAGAAGCCAGGCAGCGCAGGTGACTGGCACCCAGCACTGGGAGGGAAGATAATGGGTGCGTGTCCTTTCTCCTGGGCCTCCTGAGTGCGAGCACCTCACCTGAGACGCGTGGGGTAAAGGTGGAAGAGGCCAAGTGCCCAAGCCCGCTCTAACAGACTGTCTCACCTTCTCATACGGACAGTACTTGTACTTCTTGATGGGGCTCGTACAGATGAAGACATCAGTGCTGCAAGAAGAAAAAGGAGAGAGTCTGTCAGCCCACATCCGCGCCCTCATTGCCCCACTCCTGACCTAGGGCTGCTGGGCCCTCCAGGGCCAGTCTGTCTCCTGGAACGGAAAACCCACCTCCCTGCCCTGCTCACTGCCTTGGGCAACAGGGTGTGACCTCACCTCTGGCCCAGACAACCACCTTATGAAAAGGGGCATCTGACTTCGGACAATTCTGCATAGTCAGACTCATAAGGGAAGAGGAGCTCATCAGCTGTCCTCTCTGTGTCAGGAACAGGGAGCTAATGCGATGGAAGCTTTTAGCAATGAAACACATAAAAAAGATGCAGAGTCAGTTTCTTGCAGGAGATGCAGGGATTCATGCAACACAGAGTAAAGAAGCCAAAAGAAGTCTTTCAACAAAGTGTGTCAGTCAAGCCCCCTGGCTGTGGACGCAGAGAGGAGCCCTGGCCCACCCAGGGCCAAGCTCCCCAACAGGACAGGTGTTAGGGATGAGGAATGACCCTCCCCACAGTCTGTGGTTCTGAGCACAAGGAGGGAGCTGACTGGAGGGCGGTGGACCTGCTTCTGCCCACAGCCCCAGCCTGCTCACCAACAGAGTCATCTGGTCCCAAACATCCCCAAAAAGCCGGCATCTGCCTCTGGAACTGGCATCTGTTGGCTCATCAAATGGAGCCAAGGGAGAACTGGATTTTCCTTTCCCTTTTTCTCTTTGGTAAATGAGTCCCCTGAGAGCCATGAGTCAGACTGCCAGGTCCCTGGGCAGAAAACACGCGCCTTCTAGTTACCAGGAGCCTGGCCTCTCAGCGCTCCCCAGGCCAACCTCATACATCTCCCACACCCAGATACTCAGCCTCTCCGCCCTGAGAGCTGGCCGCACGGAAGAACCACCTCCTGGGGCCTCTGAGTGAGAGTTGTTCCTGCTCAAGCGCAAGCACTTCAGAGATGGATGGCGGGCAAAGAGTCTGTTTTGTCCTCCATTGTCACTTCCACACCTTTCCTCCTGCAGGCCCCTGGCCCTGGGAAGCCCCTGCCTGGCAGGCCCCCTGCGGCCCTTGTCCACTGTTGTCACCCACCACTTGCCTCGGGGGCTCACTACGGCCCCTCCGCCCCACCTGACATCCTTCTCAGTGGACCTGACATGTCCTCGGACACTTACACACGCAAGTGCCGATCCAAGCCCTCAGCCCCTCTGCTCCCAACCCTCTCACCTCCAAAAACCTCCTCCTCCACCCCAGCTCTAGTGCCTTCTCCCGTCACAGTGGGAGCTGGTAATCACTAACCCTAAAATCACCTACCCGACCAGTAAACTCATTCTGACACCTTCCGCTCAAGCCTTTGCCTTCACTGAAACAAACACGGGTCGTGGCCACTATCCCCTCACTGCTCCTGGCCACGGTCCCTGGCTGCCAGGCTCTGGGGCCTCACCACCATCACTCCGCTGGCCTTTCCCCTCTTCCACTGAGCTCTGTTTGCCCCGAACAAACCCAACTAACAACTTCTTGCACCCAAGAAACTGAGTGTGGCTGAAGGGAAAAACTATATATAATTGGCTTGACGGGTTTCACCTTAAATTCATAGCCACAAGCCCAGGATGCGTGGCAGCCTCTCTCCAGCGCCCTACGTGTGCTCACCTTACTATTCTCCAGCACAGCTACTGCGGCAGGCTGCGCCTCCCACTCCGTCCTCTCCTTTCTGAGATCCCTGACACGACTTCTAGCTTGGGCGGGTCTCCAGCAAGCTACAACCAGCCTCTCCGTTTCCTCAAACTCCTGGCTGATGAGACTCCTTGTTGACTCACCATGACATCCAGAACACCCTTCTCCCTCTCCCCTGAACAGGAGGAACACGCATCCGCACTCACAACAGGCCTCCACTTGTGCCCAGGATCCTGTCCTTTGTCTTCACAAGGACCTTGCCCCTGTGATACTCCTCATCCAAACGTTCTAGTACCTCCCATCTCTCTCTCTCTCTCTGTGCACGTGCGTGTGCATGTGCGTGTGTGTGTTTACACGCATCCAGATGTTCTCACTTCATGTCATCAACAGGCTCTCAGGAACTGCAACTTAAAGTGAAAGGATGTGTGATGACACAAGGCCTTTGAATACCGTCATCTTGTTCAACACAAGCTGGGATTGTTTTTCTCATCGACATTATAGCAAAACATTATTCCAGGACCTGCTGTAGAAAAACCTTGATGCCACAGCTGGCAACGATATGCACCTACCAAGTTGCCTGCTCTTGCTAACTTCACTTCCTCGCCCCTTAGCCCACTTCAAGCCACTCCAGCCTGGAGACCGTCCCCTCCTCTTTGCGAAATTGACCGTTGTCACCCAGACTCTTGCATCACCACGTCCAGTGCACACCTCCTTTAAAAGTAGTCCCCCACGATGTTAAAGACTTGCTTTTGATAAATACTGCTACTAAATAATACATTTGGACTTAGAGATACTGTAATAACATATATGGGGAAAATATATAGGAAAGAAAACTCAAGCAAAAACACCAAAATATAAGAAAGCAGTGGTTTCAAAGTGGTAAGATTATATATATGATTTTTTATCCTATATTTTAGTTCTCCAAAATTAGCCATAAGCTATGTTTTCTATTTTTTGTTGTTGTTCAGCTACATTTTTTAAAGCAAACATTTTTTGGCTTTCTCTGATGGACTGACACCTGAGGCCAGTTATGACCACTTCAGAAAGTACTCATTGCTTCAGACATTGTGCATTTCTCTTATTCAACATATAGTAAACTCCATTACATTCCAAGCACTAGGGAGATTCAGATAGAACCCACTTACTTGCTGGCACTGACTCCAAATAAGTTTTGGCCACTTTAACATGTCAAGTGCACCTTCAAAGGGCAATTCATGTTGATGGAGGACATTTTATGTGGAATGCACCATGCTGGTTGCTGTGTATGTTCATCTTCTAAGAGAATAGCATGGATCACTGAGTATCTATCAGAACACTCAATGTACATGACTTTGATACAGCTAGTCCACTGCAGTGCAGAAATATCCACCCGCATTCACTGAGACTCTCAGTGTAGCCCTGCCACACAAGAAAAAATGAGAAATGACTTAAATGTCTATATGGCAATCACTAAATAAATAATAGTACATGTGTACAATAAAATACTATGCCACAATTAAAGATAATAAGATATCGCTATTGTACTGATGTGGAGAGACACCTAAGATAAATTGTTAAGTGAAAAAGAGAAAGCTACAGAATTACATACACGAGCCCATTCCTGTTTAAAACAAACACTGGCAACTATTATGTGAATGTGCACATATATAGTTATGTACATGTGTATGTATATGTATATATATATGTACATATATCGTTATATAGTTATTCATTCAAAAAAATTTGATTGTGTACCATGTGCCAGGTATCACTCTAGGGACTGGGAATATAGCCACTACCAAACAGCCCCTGACCTCAGGGAGCTTACACTGGAAAGAGGAAGAGGCAAACCTGAGCACATTTCAGCTTTGAGTGTGTGCCTGGGGCAACGGGGCAGAATGACTGGATGGGGAAGTACAGTGGTTAGGGAAGGCCTCCTTGAGGAGGTGACATTCAAGGTGCTCAGAACTGAATGATAAAAACTATGTGGCCATGGCTGGTCAACGCATTTTATTTTATTTTAGTGCAACAGTTAGACCCACAGAGTGTTTTAAGAGGTGACTACTATCACCAGAATTTGCTGTTAAAAATCACGCTGGCTGCTGAATAGAACATACAAATTTACAAGTCTGTATACAAACCTGAGTGTAAATGCATTGCAAAGGACCTGGAAGCATGTACCCTAAACTGCTAACTAGGGTGAAAAGAGTGGGATCAAGGGCAATACACACAGAAGAGAAACAAAATAGGCAACTCGCATTTTTTCCAAATATGTTCACATCATAGGAGTTTTTCTAAGAATGCACTCATGTATTACTAAATAATAACGAAAAGATTAGTGACCACTGAAGAGATTCCAAGTAAGCTCTTTCGGAGGTGAGGCAATGCCTAGGGAGGCACTGGAGGACAGTCTCTGGGGTGGGCAGGGCAGGTCTTTGCTCACACAGCTCCCCTCCTACCTGAAGCCCTCTTGCCGTCCACCTGGTGGGCTCCTGGTCCTTCTTCAAGATGACAGCTTAAGTGTTCCTGCCTCCCTGCATAGTTGTAGCCCTGCCTGTCTGTATTCTCACAGCCCATTCCCACACCCTGCTGCAACACTGTCAGGCCCATGTCCTAGTCCCTTGCTTCCTAGTGAACTCTTCAAAGAGTGCACAAGGGTTTAAGTCTCAGCACTTTTAAGCTATCAGCAGCCACTGCAGTTTGAGTTCAATCCCCAGCCAGAGAGCTACACACGTAGCACAGCAGACCTCTCTTTTCTCACCTGCTGCTCACCTCAGCTGTGTATTTCAGTCAGTCAGCCTGTTCTGCTCCCTACTTTGTCTCTGGTGAATCCTCACACCCCTGCCCCCACGCCAAACCCCAGGCCTATACCCCAGTTCTTATATGCATAAATAAATAAATCTATTAAAAAAACTATCTACTTCTATATCATGGCATGGCACCTAGTACAAGGTCCGACATATGCCAGCAGCTTGATAAATATCTATTAAACTACATTTTAAACCTTGGCCTCTGTTCACTTCAGCACTAGACACACAGCTAGCCACTTAGATAATGACTAGACTCCTCTTTTTTGTCCAAACTTTGGGCACTGACTGACCATAGGAATCTTCCACCCAGCTAAGAGCCTAAGAGGACATAAAGGCCTGATGGTGTGATCTGGGCTGCATTCCCAGACTAGAATCTCTGCAAATGTGCTAACAGGAAGATGTAGGAAAAAGTGTTCTAGGCTAGAATACATTTGAAGAACACGATCTCTGCTATCCCGATGAAGTATCACAGTGAACATTAATAACCTACAAGCTCTGAAAGCCCTATAGGAAAGAAACCTCCTTAATTCAATGTTTCCCACACTGCTTTGGTTAAACAATGTTTTTCTTGTTGCATATCTATTAAATCTTGCAGAATAGTAACAGCAGCAGCTAACATTTACTGGGCATCTATGTGTCAGGTCCAACATTGAGGACTTCCTCATCATGTTCATTTTACTGCTAGTTGAAGACTCTGGGACCCAGAAAGTTTAATAATTTATCCAATGTCTGAGAGTTAGGGGTATCAAGGAGCCCAGATCTGAGCTGGGCAGCCTAACTCCCCCTGAACACCACACTATCCAGCTCCCCCAAATATAGTTTGTAAATATGGTCCAGGAAAAAGCTGACCTAGACAAAGAGTAAACTTCTGAAAAGCTTCTATGCAAAAAAAAAGAAAAAAAAATTTCTTTGCCTCTCCAGGCTCCAGCAATAGAAGGAAAAATTATACAACATGACTCTACTACACATCTAGCTCACACCAAAATAAAATATACTATCCGGAAAGACCTGGACTCAAGTCCAAAGGTAAATTACTGACAAAACAAACCCACCGCTTAACTCAAACTGTAAGCATTTTTATACTTCCCTAATGCCAATTTATCATGTTTGAACTTTGAAAGTTGACCATTTGGAGAGGGCATTGTATGGTACAATGAAGGCCAAATCACCTTATATGTGATTTGTCGTTCAGGTTTACTAAGTTTAAGTAAATTGTAACCAAAAAAAGTTATACAAGTCTAGAAATAAATCCCAACACTTATAGTCAATTGATTATTGACAAAGATGCCAAGACAATTCAACAGAGGTAAGAGTCTTTTCAACAAGTGATTTTATATGTGATATCCACATGCAAAAGAAAGAAATGGGGGCCTCCCCAGTGGTGCAGCGGTTGAGCGCTGGGTTGCGAAGCTGCCCGCGGCCTATGCGGCGCCGGTTCGATCCCCGGCTGCTCCCCGGCCACGGGAGGAGGGTCCCACATGGTGCGCAGACCTCTCCTGCTGCCCGCTGCTCCCCTCAGCAGTGTACTTCGGTCCTTCTGCCTGTTCTGCTCCCTGCTCTGGCTCTGGTGAATTCTCTCACCCTCCCGCGCTTCTGACTGTACCCAGTGTATGTATAAACAAAACAAACAAATAAATAAATAAATAAACATGCCTCTATAAAAAAAAATGTTTTAAAAAAAAAAAAAGAAAGAAATGGGACGCCTTCCTTACACCACACACAAAACTCAACTCAAAATGTACCAAGCCTAAATGTGAGAACTAAAACTACAAAACTCTTAGAAGAAAAATCTTTGTGACCTTGAATGAAGCAAAGGATGTTTAGATACAACACTAAAAACAAGTCAAAAGAAAAAAACAAACAACTTTAAAGTAAAAACATTTGTATTTCAAGGACGCCATCAAGAAGTAAAATAATAATCCACGGATAATATATATATTTTTTGCAAATAATATATCTAACAAGAGGGCCTCCCCTGTGGCGCAGCAGTTGAGAGCTGGGTTGCGAAACTGCCAGCAGCCTCTGCAGCGCCGGTTTGATCCCCAGCTGCCAGGCGAGGGTCCCACATGGTGCGCAGACCTCTCCTGCTGCCCGCTGCTCCCCTCAGCAGTGTACCTCATCAGTCTTCCTGTTCTGTTCTCTGCTCTGGCCTGGTGAATTCTCTCACCCTCCTGCGCTTCTAACTATACCCAGTGCTTGTATAAATAAATAAATAAATCTTTAAAAAAAACCTAAGAAACTTGCTTCCTTCATTAGGATCATATCTTGCTCATTTCTTTACACTGGTGCCTGACAGTATCTAACAGGTGAGTTCTTATATGAAATGAACTTTGAACACCTAGTAAATCAGGTCAATATCCCTCATATCTCATTATTGGATCTAAACAGCTAATCTGAGGAACTTGTTTCGTAGAATATATAAAGAACCCTACAAGTCAACAATAATAAAAGACAACCCAATTAAAATATTTAGTAAAGGATTTGAATAAATATTTCTCAAAAAAAAAAAAAAGATATACCCATGACTGATAAACACACAGAAAGAGGTTTAACCTCATTAGCCTTCAGAGAAATGCAAATCAAGGCCACAATGAGACAGCACTTACCCACAAGGATAACTAGAATAAAAAAGACAATAACAAGTGTTGGGGAAAATGTGGAGAAATGGATTCCCCTTTTGCTGCTAACAGTAATGTAAAATGATGTAGTCTCCTTGGAAGTGTTTGGCAGTCCTCAAAATATTAAACATTTGTGTTATGACCCAGCAATTCTACTCCAAGCTATATGCCTAAGAGGAATGAGAACATATAACCACACACAAAGAAAATGTGAACATGAATGTTCACAGGAGTGTTATTTTTAATATGCAAAAAATTGAAACAACCCAATGTCTATCAACAGGTGGAAAGCAAAATGTGGCATTCTGCTTGGATGGAGTGCTGAATGGTGTGTTATTCAGCAATGAAAAGGAATGAAGGTCTGATATGTGTTACAAAGTGGATGTATCCTGGGAACATACTGAGTGAAAAACATCAGACAAAAACCCCACAAATTGGGCCTCCCCGGTGGCACAGCAGTTGAGCGCTGGGCTGCAAGGCTGCCCACAGCCTCTGCAGCGCTGGTTCGATCCCTGGCCACTGGCGAGGGTCCCACAAGGTGTGCAGGCCTCTCCTGGCGCCCGCTGCTCCCCTCAGCAGTGTACTTCGTCTGTCTGCCTGTTCTGCTCCCTGCTCTGTCTCTGGTTAATTCTCTCACCCTCCCACACTTCTGACTGTATCCAGTGCTTGTATAAATAAATAAATATTTTTTTTTAAAAAAGCACAGTATTTAAAAAAAAAAAAACAAACCCACAAATTATACAAAAAACCCAGAATAGTCAAATCTATAGACACAAATTATTGATTGCCTAGAGCTATAGGAGGAAGGTAGGAATGGACAGTCACTGCTAATGACTGTGTATAGTGTTTCTTTTGGGGGGGGTGAGGAAATATTCTGAAATTGACTATGGTGATGGTTGTACAACTCTGTAGATGTATTAAAACCACTGAATTGTACATTTTAAATAGGTGTATGGTGTGTAAATTATATTTCAATAAGGCTTTTTTTTTTTAAAAAAAAAAGCCATCAAAAGTTCTCACCTATAGGGCCTCCCCGGTGGCGCAGTGGTTGAGTGCTGGGTTGCGAAGCTGCCCGCAGCCTCTGCAGCGCCGGTTCGATCCCCGGCTGCTCCCCAGCCACCAGAGGAGGGTCCCACATGGCGCGCAGACCTCTCCTGCCGCCCGCTGCTCCCCTCAGCAGTGTACTTTGGTCCTTCTGCCTGCTCTGCTCCCCGCTCTGGCTCTGGTGAATTCTCTTGTCCTCCCATGCTTCTAACTGTACCCAGTGCTTGTATAAAAAAATAAATTAAAAAAAAAAAAGTTCTCACCTATAACTGCTAGTGGACTTCAGTGGGCAGTGGGTCAAGGTTACAGAGTGGGGTTTCAGTCACAGAATCAATCATTTCACTAGAACAAAATAAGTATCTCCCACAATACTCCTGCCTCTTTAACCACCCTGTCTCATTAGGTCTCCTCTACACTCTTTTCTTTTCAGCACCGACCTCAATCTGTGATCACCTTCGCTTGTGTTACCTTCACGTATGCTCTCTGGCTAGACTGTAAGCTTCATGAGGACCATCTCTTGCTCATTCCTTTACACTGTTGCCCAGCAGTAGCTAATAGGGCCAGTTCTCAGATGAAATGAACTCTGAACACCCAGTGAACCAGGTCAATAGGCATCTTTTCTCATTACTGGATCTAACCATCTTGACAGAAATATACAGGGAATCTGTTTTGTTCCGTTAGGTTTCTACCAGCTCCAGACACAATGAAACAAGCATGACCTTGTGCAGGGGATGACAAGAGAGAAGGAAAGGAGGCAGAGCGAGGGGACAGAAGCCAAAGAGGTGACGGCAGGAAGAAGGTACAGACACTGGGCTTGAAGACACACTTACTTCTCCAGACTGGCCATCTGCTTCAGAGCCTCCACAGCCCCTGGGAGAGGCTCAAGGTCAAAAAAGAAATTCTTCGATTCCCAAATGCTGATGGCTTTCTCCTAAGAAGATGAGAGAAAGAGCTGACTTCCAGGGTCCTCAGCACATCACCTCATAACAGGATGTCCTGACAGGGAAGGGTGGCTGATTAGATTGTGGGGCTTCTCTGGTCCCCTCACCCCTACCCCCCTATACACACACCTAAGGACACATTCCCTGGGGGCTGGGGGGAAGGAGGGAGTACACAGAGCTTGTGTGTGTTCTGGCTCCTCTCCAAGAGGGACCTGATTTCTGCCAGGATCCAGCAGAGAACAGCTGCAGTGTCAGAGGCGGTGGGTCCCAAAGGCTGCTCTCTGCTGGAGGCCTGGCTAGAGCCCTCTGGGGCCTGAGCCTGCTCCCCATGACCACATACTTGCTTGATTCTAATAGCCAGAAGCATCATGGAGGCTCCGAGGGTGGGCCAGGTCTTGGCACTAGAGTCATTAAATTTGAGGGCTGGAGGAATTCAAAGATACTTAAGAGTGCCTGTGCCAGGCAGGATAAGAGGGGTGTGGATGGAAGATCAATTAGGTAGAGCTCTAGACTCCTCACCTATATTAACCACTAACTGTTTTATGTATTGGGATGCTAATAATACAGGTTTTTGTTTTAAGTTTTCTTCTGCTTTTAAAGTTTGAAAATAGGGCCTCCCTGGTGGCGCAGGGGTTAAAGACAGCGCTATCTAACTATCAGCAGCCACTGTAGCATGAGTTCCATCCCCTGCTGGCCAGCGAGCAACCCACATGGTGCAGCAGACCTCTCCTGTCTCGCCCGCTGCTCCCCTCAGCAGTGTATTTCAGCAGATCTGCCTGTTCTGCTCCCCACTCTCTCTGGTGAATCCTCTTACCCACCGCACCTCTAGTCTATACCCCACTTCTTGTATGCATAAATAAATAAATCTTACCAAAAAAATAATAAAGTTTGAAAAGTGAAAATCTAATCTTCTTGTTATATATGAGAAAAACAACATTCAGAATGGGTAAAGATGCACCTAATGTCACACAGAAGAACAGTGGCCAAGCAGGGGGTAGAATCCATCTCCTAACCCCAGCATGGAAGTCTCCACTTTATGTGGCTGGGCCAAAATCACATCTACAGAGTGTCACACTTATCCAGGGCCAGGATAAGGAGTAAGTGACAACAGGAGAGGAGACAAAGCCCAGCCTCTGAGAAGTAGGAAGCTAAGCCCCACATGAATGAGGCAGGAAGTGGTTCTGTCAGTCAGAAGCTGAACACCCCAAAGAGCCACCACTACACCCATGGGGCAGTACCCCAGACCAATCTGGCAAAACTCATGTGAACTACAAAGGGTTATGCAACTTGTTAACTTATACAACTTGCTAATTTACTCTGTCTCTTGCATGACCCTCACATCCCACAAGGGGCAAGAATTGCCACCCCCAATTTACAGATAAGGATTTTTTTCTTCAAGGCCATTATGAGTGACAACTTGAATTTGGGGCTTCTCACTCACCCAGGAGACAGTGTAGCATGGCAGAAAGCGTGCTTGACTTAGAGGTCAGAAGATATGCACTTCTGTGTGCCCCTAGGCTGACTACCTCACCTCAGTGATCAATGTCCCTGCATCCCTACCATCCCACCTTCATGGACTTGCTCCAAAACCCTCTCTCCAGGTTCCTCAACTGTCCGAATACCATAAGATTTTAAGCTAGTTTAAATGACCCCTGCCTTCCTCTGAAGCCTTGTTTACCTCTCATCTCAGATCACTGTAAAAAGCAAAGAGAATATGGATTATAAGGAGAAATGCTTACATATGGAAGCTGAGTAAGTCAGTCAGTTGGTTGTTTTTAACTGCAGATACTGGGCCAGCTTGGGCAAGAGGAGACCTGAGGATGTCCTAGTTTGAGCCGTGCTGGGATAATAGGCATGTGCTCACCTGTCAAATTCTGTTTCCTGCAATGTTCCCAGAAGCAGGAGATATGAGATCAACCTCAGTGCAGTGCTCCTGATTGCCCCAGGAGTTCTGTTCCTTTGCCTGGTTCTTGGAAAATGGCAATTCATCTCCTTAAACCTGGAGTCCACACAGCTGTACAAAGGGCTGAAGCCACTGTCGTTTTCAGAATTGGGGTTAAGCTTAGTTTCATTACCCTAATACACTTGTGGGAGGAAATAAGGTACCGAATCTACCAATGTTGGGCAATGCTTATAAAGGAACACCAACAGAGCCAAGAGCATATGTTCTGAGACTGCAAAAATTACTAGGGTGCTTTCCCTGGTTTAAAGTTTTTAATAAGACATCAGCACTGAGAGAAGTCTGTGCAAGGGACTAGGAGAAAGCCATCTCTGAAGTGCCTGGTAGTAATGAAAACAAATGACTCTGAATTTCCTTTGTAACATCTGCCCCTCGACAAACCAAAATATCTCAAAGTACCTTTTTTAAGTCCAAAGAAAGGTCACTTGTTAGAGACAGCAGGACAGAGAACAGAACTTTGAGGTGGGGGAGGCCAAAGGTGTCTGGGAGGCAGAGAGACTTGAGTCAGAATGCTGGCTGAGCCCCTTACGAGCTATGCAAGTTGGGCCATCACCTGCATAATGGAGATAATGTCTATATCACAGAGGAGATAATGCCATCAAGATGCGGTTACAAAACACTCTAATACCATCATCGTCATTGTGATTAAATTATCTGACAGTGACCTTAAATGGCCCATCAAGGATGCCAGAAAACACCTATATTTGTGCGTGATAAAATACCTATCCTTTCACAAAATAGTTTAAATTACAAGCAAGCTGTCTGCAAACCTACTTGGACAACCCTCTCCCCATCTCCTCTAATCCGTCACTGACTCAGAGAGCAGAGGACAGCAGGAGTCCCAGGGGTCTGCGGGCTCAGGTGTTCAGCAGGGCCACCAGAGCAAGGGGATAAGCCCAACAGATGATCCCATCCCACCTGGACCACTGACTCCCTGCTCTGGCCAGAAAGTAACTCAACCTCTGTGTTTCAAGCACCAGTGGGAGCTATGCTTTCACGCAAAAGGGCAAAAAAAAAAAGAATGGTAAGAAGCAATCATCAATTTCAGGAGGAAGAAATGGGAATGTGACTATGGCATGGGCCGGAGGATTTGACTTGTCACGTTTATTTTATTCAAAGATAAAAGAAGCCGAATCTACCCCCAAATACTGAAGTCAGCTGAAGATAGAGAGTTAGGGATATTTTGAGACATCCCCAGGTCAGCCAAGAGCGCACAGGGTTGGCTCTGTCCTCGCCGCTGTTCCCAGGACAGGTTTTGCAAGCGGAGCCCCCTGAGGCTGAGGCGGTGACCCACTCAAGGTCGCGCGGGCTCTCAGTCCCAGGGCTGGGGAGGCAGACCCCGGTTCCCCCGCCCCGAGGAGGGCGCCGGGCCTCGGGCGCGAGAGGCTGCAGGGCTGGGGACGCTCACCCTCAGCTCGGGCCCCAGGCTGCGGTACTGTTCTGACACCCAGAAGCCGCGCCGGTCCTCCAGCGCGATGAAGGGCAGGTCGGGGAAACGCGCGCGGAACTTCCTGAGGAAACCGCCTTCGAAATCGGCGAGCACGCCGTCCATGTCCACCAGCACCCGCAGGGCGCGGCTGCGCCCCTGGCCCGCCGGGCCCCCGGACTGCCAGCGCCGCCCCGCCGGGGTCGCCGTGCCGCGGGGCCGCCGCGCACACCAGCCGCCCAGCCGGATCATGGCCCTTCGCGGTCGCCAGCCGCGGGCACCCGGGCAGGGGCCGCGCCGCCCCGCCGGTCCTGGCTGGCAGACATGACCACTCGGGAGCAGAAACCGCTGCCCGGTGGGTGCACGAAGCTCAAGGAGCAAGGGGCGCGCGGGGCGAGAGCGCGCAGGCCCCGGCCCCAGAGCGAGGCTGCGCTGCGCGCCCCGCCCCGCGGCCCTTAAAGAGACAGGCGTCCCCGAGGAGGCGGGCCGGGGGCGTGGCCTTGAAGGCCGCCCGCTGTCCCCTTCCCTCTCGGGAGGGGAGGGGAGGGGAGGGGAGGGGAGGGGAGGGGAGGGAGGGGAGGGAGAGGAGGGACGGGGCGGGGCGGGGCCACCTTAGCCGCCTTAGCTCCTCTCCCACTGCAGCCAAGAGGATGGAGGAGTGCCCTTCCAAAGAGCAAGCCCGTATCTCTAGCATTTATTGAGCACATTTATTGAGCACATTTATTGAGGGTTCCTGCCATCCTGGAAGTCACTTTTAGGAGAGACAAAAAGCAAACCGCCATGGTCAAAGTTGGAGGTAGTGACCATGAACTTCAGGTCCATCTTCTTCAGGGCCCACCGTTTGGTCTGCCCAGCAAGGACTTGCAGAGGGTGAGCACTTACTTGCTTCTTGGTCCCCATCACATGGCCTTTCAGTATGACAAAGTCATGGGTCACTTCACTGTAGTGGACAAAGCCTCCAGAGTGTTAATCGCTTATCAGACAGATTGTAATGCGCAGAGTCATTGTTCTTGATCAGCTTGCGGTCCTTGATAAGGAAGCCCTGGTCAATCTTGTAAATCTTCTTGATCTCAGTGTGTTGATGGTAGCCTTTCTGTCTGGCATTTTCTGACCAGCAGGATGCCAATCCCTGACACAGGCAACCTTGCACAGCCCTTGGTAGGTCTTGGGGAGCAGTTTATTGGTACGTCAGTGGCTGCTGACCCCTTGTAGCCTTTGCCTTCAGTCACCCCAATGGTATCGATCGTCTCATCCTGTCCAGCACTTGCTTCACAGGGATCTGCTACTCCAGTCGCTCTCAGGCTCAGTCCAGCTTTTCAGCAACCATCCTTGGTTCACCTGGACCTCCATGAGGCGGGCCTTCTGGTGCAGAGGCAGCAGGCACACCTGGATGTGAGCAATGGCAGGATGACCTGGCAGAACTTGTTTGTGCTGCTGAAGTCCTTCTTCAGCTGCTTCTTGCCATCTTCATCCTGCCACTTCTTGCTCTATTCAGTGAAAACCTTCTTCTTATAAATGTGCTTTTTGCTCTCACCACTGATATGCTCAGCTAAGATGGCCTTAAAGGAACAGAGGCCCTGAGGGGTTTCCACGTAGCCCACAATGCCCACCACTACCATGGGTGTCTCCACAGTGGTCCCAGCCTCCATAACTTCCTTCTTGTTCACATTTGATCCTGGCTATCCACCTCCTGAACATTGTGGTCATGCTGCCATGTAGCCCAGGAAGGCTGTGAGGTGGATGGACCTGGTGGAATCACCCTTGGGGAAATTCTCTACCTTCCCTCGGTGCCATCTGCTGTGCTCCTGAGATAAGAAGCCCATGGACCCGTGTCTGGGGGCAGAGAACTTCCTGTGAGGCACAACTCCATTAAAAACCTATAGCAGGGCCTCCCCGGTGGCGCAGCGGTTGAGCGCTGGGTTGCGAAGCTGCCCGCGGCCTCTGCGGCGCTGGTTCGATCCCCGGCTGCTTCCCGGCCACCGGAGGAGGGTCCCGCATGGCGCGCAGACCTCTCCTGCCGCCCGCTGCTCTCCTCAGCAGTGTACTTCGGTCCTTCTGCCTGCTCTGCTCCCCGCTCTGGCTCTGGTGAATTCTCTCACCCTCCCATGCTTCTGACTGTACCCAGTGCTTGTATAAATAAATAATTAATTAATTAAAAAAAAAATAAAAACCTATAGCAGAAGCCAGTGGGCTCTCAGCAATCTGATTTTATTTTATTTTTTTAATTTTTAAAAAAGATTTTTATTTATTTATACAAGATCTGGGGTACAGGCCAGATGTGCGGGAGGGTGAGAGGACTCACCAGTGATAGAGCGGGGAGCAGAACAGGTAGACTGACTGAAATACACTGCTGAGGGGAGCAGTGGGCGAGACAGGAAAGGTCTGCTGTGCCATGTGGGTAGCTCCCTGGCAGGGATCAAACTCCTGCTGCAGTGGCTGCAGATAGCTTCATAGTGCTGCATCTCAAGCCTTTGCGCCACCAGGGAGGCCCTGGTGTTTCTACTCTTAATTGCTTGAGATATTTCCATCCTGTTTTCCACATTGACTACACCAGTTTACATTCTACTACAGTGTAGAGGGATTCCCTTTTCTCACTCCAGAACCTCATCAACACATACTTCTTGTCTTTTTTTTAAATGTTTATTTATTTATGCATAAAAGAACTGGGGTACAGACCAGAGGTGCGGAGGGTGAGAGGATTCACCAGAGACAGAGTGGGCAACAGAGCAGGCAGATTGACCGAAGTACACTGTTGAGGGGAGCAGCAGGAGAGTCAGGAGAGGTCTGCTGCACCATGTGGGTTTCTCCCAGGCTGGCCAGGGATCGAACTCGTGCCGCAGAGGCCACGGACAGCTTCCATAGGTTGCGTCTTAACCCCTTGCGCCACCAGGGAGGCCCTTTCTTGTCTTTTTAATAACAGCCATTGCAGTTGGTGTGAGGTGATACCTCATTGTTTTGATTTGTATTCCCAGAGGGTGAGTGATAACAAACATCTTTTTATGTGTCTGTTGGCCATCTATGTGTCCTCTTTGGTGAACTGTCTATTTAGATCCTCTGCCCTTTTTTTTTTAATTGGATTGTTTGGTGGTTGTTGTTGAGTTGCATGGGTTGTTTATGTATTTTGGATATTAATCCCCTCTCAGCTATGTGATTTGTAAATAGCTTCTCCTGTTTAGTAGGTTGCCTTTTTGTTTTGACAATAGTTTCACTAGGCAGAAGCTTTTTAATTTGATGTAGTCCTATTTGTTTATTTTTGTTTTTGTTGAATCCACTATGACAGCTTGAAGGCTGATGTCATAGACTTTACTTTCTATGTTTTCATCTATGAATTTTTTTGACTTCAAGCCTTCTATTCAAGTCTTTGATCAGCTTTGAACTTATTTTTTGTGTGTGGTCAAGTTTCATTCTTTTGCATGCAGCCGTAATCCAGTTAGCTGTAACTCACCACTGCCTACCAACCTTCTGTGAATTGTGGCTTCATTAGTTCAATTTTCAAAACTGAACTGCGGTGCTATTCACATCTGATCTGCATGTTCATCACTCAGTGGTCAAGCTTAGGGTTGGGGAGTTGGTTTACTGTACCCTCAGTTCTCATAGCCTTTGGTGTACAGCTTAGAGTCCAATTCACACCTGCATTGCTTAGAGGTGAGATAAAAAAAAATTATACACAGGGCCTCCCTAGTGCCTCAGAGGGTTAAGTCTCAGCAAAATGAAGTTATCCACAGCCACTGCAGCTCAAGTTCGATCCCCTGCCAGGGAGCTAACCCACATGGCACAGCAGACCTCTCCTGCCTCCCCCACTGCTCCCCTCCGCAGTGTATTTCAGTCAATCAACCTGTTCTGCTCCCTGCTCTGTCTCTGGTGAAAACTCTCACCCCACCCCCCAACTCTGGCCTACACTCCAGCTCTTGAATGCATAAATAAATAAATCTTTTAAAAGAAGAATTCATATACCACTTTATGGGATCATTTTCTTGGCATATATGATATCCTTAATACTTTCCAGTCTCAAGACTGTCTTGGTATAATAGTTTTCTTCATCTTCCTTGGATTTGATATTTGTTTAGCTTTTTGAATCTGTGAGTTTATAGTTTTCATTAAACATAGGGTTTCGGACATTATTTCTTCAAATATTTTTCTACTTCCTGACTATGTACCACCTCCCTGGTGGTACAAGGAGTTAAGTCTCAGCATTATGAAGTTCTCGCCACCACTACAGCATGAGTTTGATCCCCAGCCAGGGAGCTACCCACATGATGCAGCAGACCGTTCCTGTCTTGCCTGCTGCACCCCTCAGCGGTATATTACAGTAGATCATCCTGTTCTGCTCCTACTCTGTCTCTGGTGAGTACTCTTTCACCCCCCACACCTCTGACCTGCACCCAGCTCTTGTATGAATAAATAAATAAAATCTTTTTTAAAAACTCTATTATTGCCTTTGTCTTGTGGATATTGGAGTCCAAGCACTTAAAACAACCAAGACATATCATAATCAAACTTCCCACAGCAGTGATAAAGAGAAAATTTTGAAAACCTGCAGAAAAATAAACTCATTATCTACATCCCTTTAGGATGGCCGTTATTACAAAAACAAAAACCAGAAGATAACATATTAGTGAGGACATGAAGAAATCAAAACCCTTGTGCAATGCTGGTGGGAATGTAAGTGGTACAGCTCCAGTATAAAATGGTAAGGCAGTGACTCAAATAATTAAAAATAGAACTACCATGATAAAGATATTTTTGGTGATTCATCTCCTATGGTAATGGAACTAAAAACAAAAATAAACAACTGGGATAACCTCAAGTTAAAAAGTTTCTACACTGTGAACAAAAAACATAAGACAATTAAAAAGATACCTTATTAAGTGGGAGAAAATATTTATATGATGTATAACTGGTAAGGGATTAATATCCAAAATATAGTTTTAAAACTAATGCAATTGACAATTAAAAAAATAAACATTACACTTAATAAATGGGCAGCAGATTTGAACAGACAATTCACCAAAGAGGATATCCAGAAGACTAAAAGACGTGAAAAAATGTTCACCATCCCTTCCAATAAGAGAGATGCAGGTTAAGGGCCTCCTTGGTGGTGCAGGGGTTAAAGTCTCAGCGCTATCACTATCAAGCTATCACCAGCCACTGCAGCATGTGTTCCATCCCTGGCCAGAGTGCTAACCCACATAGCACAGGAGACCTCTCCTGTCTTGCCTGCTGCTCCCCTTAGCAGTGTATTTTAGTAGATC